AAGATTATATAATAAGATTATATAATAAGATTATATAATAAGATAAATGTACTTATGACAATAAAAAATAGAATTTTGTTATTGCTTACCTTATGCGAACATACCAAAGAATCTATAACTCATTCGCGGACAGTAAAGCGAACACATTAAACAATTTTTAGCAATTTTCAGGTAAAAATAATATGACAACTAATAACAATATATAATAAGATACATCTAACAGTAACTATTGTCTGACAATTCATTACATATTAGCATATCTGTAAAAAGATATCGAGTACATCCCATTATACTCCATGATTTCATTATACCCCAGGTTCCCCTATATCAGTTTGAACATCTGGTTCCTTCAACGTAAAATTTACGTATCGATATAGCAATATTGTATCACTCGATAGCGATAGTATTCTAGAATTAATCTTTGCTTTTTACATAACATTTTATTTTTTACTGTGACGTTTGAAGTTTCTCAGAAAAACATTCTCAACAAAACATCAAGTTTAAAGTCTATTCTACAATGTGTTGTTCGTTCGCTGTTTCTTGTTTTTTGTAATTTTTTGCAACTTATCTTTTTGTTTCTTATTCGGTTTTTTGTTTCATGTCACCTGAGATAAAAGTTTACGAACTTCGGAAGAAACAAGAAACATGTAGCAAGAAATACAATTGTCGATAAAACGGTTGTAAAAGGGGAAAAAACAAGAGGTAAAAAGCAAGAAACAAAAAACAAAGAGCACATTGTAAAATAGGCTTTATTTTGAACGTGAAATGAGCATTTTGTAGCTAACAACGCTTAATGCAAATTATTCGCGACGTTAAAACAAATACAAGAATATGCTTTTATCTCCCTTCCTCCCTCGTGTCCAGGTGCATGATAGCTTCCTCCGATTTATAGAATATGCGGAGGGCGGAGTGTTCACGGAACAATAGGGTGCGTAGCGACCGAAGATAATTATCGCGGTTCTCGAGGCAGCTGCGACTGTGGGTTCACCCTCGGGGTAACCCAGCTTCTTCCTCCGGGAAGTAGAGGCCGGCTGGTGTGCTCGGAAGTCTAACACATATATACACGCACACATGCATACACACACCCACAAAAAGAGGACAGGGGGAACCCAGTCTGGCGTGACTCCGCAGGTACTGCCTGTTGCAATTTTGGCGGTGCTCTCCTCTAAAAGTATCGGGACTTTGCGGTTCGTTCGAAAGCGGAAATAACGTAAGAAAATATTGAAAATATCAAAAGATTATAAATATATAGAATCCAGAATATTATAGGATAGGTACTCTTGAGTCTCGATGGCTCTACGAAAAGAAATATCGAATATCTTTAAATATTAATAATACATTAATTACATTTAAAATTATTCGATAATTTCTTCCGTCTAATTAATTAATAATATTTCCTGTTTATTTAATTTTTTTACTTATTTTTGTATAAATGTAGGAAGTATTTATACAGGTTTGACGAATTTAATAAATATGTTTCAATCAGTATTGGCAAACTAAGAAATCACAGAGATTCAATCTGTATAGTAAAGTACGTGCATCGACGACGAGCACGAAACGTCTTATCCTGTAATAACGTTTGGAACGTGTCTCCATTTGGCTTCGAAATTACTGCAATTTTTTTTTCTCGTGCGCAAGGTATCCGCCTCTTCCGGTGACAAATGGAAGTAGGCCACGTTCCTTCAGGTGAATCGGGTAGGAATAATTCGCCACCCGACGCCATCCTATTCACATGCGCGAGTCTTTTCAGCTACCCTCAATGCGCTCGTGCACGCGTGTATTATACTCAAAATACTTTCCTTCTTTTTTCGTTAATTATATTCGTGGTCGCGAAGACGTAACAGAGTAAAAGATAATTACTACCAATCACTAAATGAATAAATTCAATAGGAACTACTTTCGAAATCGTTTCTGGACATTGATGATGATTGGATTTTTCAATTAATTGCTTTCAATCACTTATACTTTTCAATTACTTGCTTTTAGTTATTTACTTTTCAACTACAGCTAAATTCTTTAAAATCGTTGATTTCGTAAAAAATGTTCAAATGAAGCGGCAAAGAGCTTTTATTACAATAAAACTGACCGATCGAATGAACGTCATCAAAGTTTTACGTCACGTGGTATGTGCATCCATCACGCAATCTATTCGTTTGAAATTTATCGATATCGATGTATCGACTAGAAAAAAAGAAAAAAAAAATAGAAGCAGAAGCGGGACACAAAGGGTACCAGCAATTACCGCTTCCGTTCTGTTCGTCATACCGGAAGTTTCTATTCATACTCGTCGCACTATGAGCGTAACTTTACTTCCGTCATTGTTGTTACGGATCGTTAACAGACCCTGCCCGGCTTTTGCTCGGTCGAATCTATAGATCTGTTCACATTACTTGAAATACCTAAAAATTTTTAAATTTAAAATGAAATAGATATATATTTGGGCGTTGAAAAGAGAGAAAGCAAGGATGCTGAGTGCAAAAAGTGCAAGCAACGCAGAAACAGATCTTATATCTCTGAAAGTTATATTACAAAAAAATATCTTCACATTACAAGGAGATACCGAGCTGTTCGACGTATTCCTTTTAAGTGTTTAGTTCCGCGGAGCGGTCTAGTACCGACATTTATTGGCATACCATGGGTTCTTCACTTCTTCGGGCTCGTAAGTCCTGTGTTTCCACGGCGCATAATCGGTTTGCAACATGCTCTCGCGATGGCAGGGAGCCGGCGGAAAGAAATATCGGAAATCGCCAAAGGGTACTCCCAACGCGATGCTTCTCTTTCTCTCTGGTCAGCTCTCTGCATCGTTCAAGTGTAGCGTCGAAGTTTCGAGTAACGATTCGTCGACTCGTACCGAGTACAAGAATGTTCTGCAGTTTCTACAAATGACCTTTTTTCCAATCGATAAATCTTGCCCAGGCAAAACTGTGTCTTCTTGATCGTTGCGAACAGTGTTGTTCCATCAGGTTACTGAAAAATCTTCCGCGAATGCACGAAAATCCTTCAATGGCTTGATAAAACCTTTTACCAATAACCACAAGGGTTCGCATCTGGTCTTAGGCATATCTGAAGATTGATTGTGTATTTCGAAATGAGATGAAAATTACAAAAAAAAGAAACAACCAAATTTATTAACATATAATTTCATTCAACATCTAGTAAATTCGCTCACTTTTCTAATTTTCACAAAAACATCGCTCATGTAAATATTCAAATTATTATATTGTCATATCATTTTATGTAATTGTATATAAATGAACATATTTTACATAATTGTATATAATTATATATAATTTTATATAATTTTATTTTACTTTTAGAAGTTTCAAAAAAGCGACCGAGGGAAAGAATCGAAGTCCTTAGGTATATGACACTAGTTTGAAATCATTAAAAATTGTTAACCTGTGTTTTTTAACAACAAAACAGCAATGAAATAAGGAATAGGAACGGTAATAGATGTGAATACCGACACATTTCGATTTTAA